ATTTCCAGAAAAGGACCATTTCATAGTTCCTGCAGTTAAGTTTGAGTAGGTAATAAACAGTGATAGATGCTGAAACCTCAGCTGAAAGGCTATGCTGCAGTGGATGTTCACAAGATGCAATGATTATCCACTTTAGAATAGTGGAATCAGGACAGGACACTTATAACTAAAATGAGACACTACGCATTGTGTCAGCTAATGTATTACAATCACATGAAATAATTGACCTTTATCTAATCATGCTTTTGGATGTAACTTCTAGTTTATAGGGGGAAAAGGTAGAGTGGGGATAGCACAAAAAGTTAAATACATCAGGAGAGCGCAATCAGGCAAATCCGAAACACCAGTCTATATTTAGACAGTTGACCCAATATTTTCATTCAGTCAATGGTGTAAGAGACACAAAGTCATGTTTTTAAAGAGACTTAAGGATTGTAACATTCAAGGCAAATGTGAAATCTTGCTCCTGCCTGGAGCACGTCAGCTACACAAGAATATTCAGTGGTCCTGGGAAAGGGAGATTTCTCAACTGAAGAAGTATTAATAATGGTAGCAACACCTAAGATTAGAAACAATGAAGAGAAAATGAGTACATTTAGTAAGATGTTAAAATGTAGGTTCTTGTGAAACCTTTATGTAGAGATAACCATAAGCCAATGATTCTCAATGAAGGGCAGTTTTGACCCTCAGAGGACATTGAGCAATCTCTGTCTTGGTTTTTGGTTGTGATGGTAAAGCAAAGATGTGAATGGCATCCAGCAGGGAGATGTCAGGAATGTTACTAAATATCTAACAATTCATAAAGAACCAACACAACCAGGAATGACCCAGCTCAAAATGGCAGTGGTACCAAAGAAACCCTCAATGGGTAATTAATTGTGAACACAAAGAAAATCCAGACCAGCAGTGGTTTATTTACTCTCAGCTTGGTGTATTTCCTGGCACATGGTAAGGGTGGAAATATTTGATAGTTTTAAATTGCATAAGCCACCAGCTTCTCAGAAAGTTGAGGTGAGGGGGCAAATTGAAATATTATCTTGGGGGCTGAAGTTGAGAGTCAGATCTTAGAAAGATTTATAAAATGTGTGTTATTAGCATAGGACAGACATGGCGATAGAAACCTTAGGAGTAGATGAGAACATCTACAGTAGTTCTGCAGCTGATCACTCTAGATCAAAATCACTTGGGCAGATTTTTAAAAAATGCATGTGCTTCATCTAGCCCCAGAGATTCCATTCTAAATGTCTCAGAGTGGGGGGAGCAGGATAAGCATCATATATATTTTAAACTCATTTTACAAATGAGCTGTATTCGTTGTCCCACATTCATTCCTAAGACACACTGCATGCAGTGCAATGACTCAGACCGTGGGCTGCTGTTTTAATAGTTTTCTAGGTTTACTAAAGCAAATAGGAACCCACTATTGACCTCACATAGTGAAATAAAAGACCAGAAAAGGTCTCCTTGGCAGAATTTAGAGGAAAGAATTTGAAGACTTTGGGAGATAAGAAAATAGATTAAATGGATCATGCGTTTCACCCCTATATCCTGCCAGGGCCCTAAAGACTTCTTTCCCTTGCGTATACAAATAGAGAGAAAAGGGAAATACTCAAATATCTAAAAGCGCTCTACTGGCTCTATTTTTTTTTCTGGGCTGAGAACGCTTGTGGAAGAAGCTACAATAAAAATGGTATTCCTGATCTCAGTGGGGATATAAGAAGCCAACTGGGCTCTGGCCCAGGTGATGACTTTTAACAGTCTGAAGCAATGTGGGTATTGTTTTAATAGGCAGATGCTACACTCAGGAATCAGGGAATGGCTTCAGTAGCAGAAATCTCTAGCTGTGGTTAATTAATCACGGGATCCCTAGGAATGAAATAGACAGCCAATTAAGGTGTGTCTTGATTTATTTAACAAAAGCTATTCTAGTTCTGCTGAACAGAGGCCTCAGTGGAGCCAGTGAGCTAGAGAATTTTGAGTTCACAGACCCAACATCACCCAATGAAGGGGAGGCTAGTGTCTGTAAGGGGAAATCTGCCGTAACACTACAGAGGCATACTGTGAACCTCCTGCCTTGTTCTTCCTAGTGGGGCTGTCAGCCATTAACCTGAATATTTGAGCACTGAAGAAAGGGAAACATTTAATTCAGGAAATAGTAGATACTGACTTAACATTATCACTTGCCCCTGGGATTTGGGAATTCCATTGTAGTTAGCTGGTCAGAGTAAAAGATCATTATAGAATTCAGGTGATAAATGAAGTTCTGGCCTAAGTTTATTTCATGGTAGACACAGTAGAATACCCCCCTTCTCAAAAACAAACAAACAAAACTCCACTTTAAGATTATATCCTGAGATTCAGAGTGAATTTGGAAAGGGTATTTTAGGAAACTGACAGAATTCCAACACATTTTCCCTGACTTAAAAACCAAGGGCTGCAATTTTAGGAAGAATCAAGTGGAGGTCATTTTTTATTTTTTTATTTTTTTTATTTTTTGGGGGTACCGGGAATCGAACTCACTACCTTACACTTGCCAGGCAGGTGCTGTGCCGCTGAGCTGAATCCCAGCCCAAGTGGAGGTCATTTTGCACTCTCCTTCTCTGGAAAAGTAGGGCATGGACAGGAGCACTATGACTCTGGAAGTTCTACCTGGAAGATGTATAGCTGGTGATTAATTTCATAGCATGGCTTGGCTTCCACTATAAGTTTTGAAGAATTTTGGTGGATTATTGGAAACAAAATCAGTAGAGGCTCTGGTTATGCCTATTCGGTTTGTCTTCTTACTAGAATAAATCAAAGTATGTTTTAGTAGCTCTTGATTTTATCAAAACATTTTCCCCATTTTAATTTATAGACGTTACCAGATATTGGTCATCTTTAGTATAGAAACATATCAATCTTTGTTGTTATGCCTCATGGATATGCCAGTTCTCTGGCTATATTCTGTGGTCTAGCTTGCTGGAAACTTGATCATGTTACCATTATTTTTTGATCAAATACCCACAAAACATCATGCTGCTTGTGAGATAGAAAAGAAATGAACCCTTTCCTTTTCCCTCTGACAGCCAGAAGGGCACACAGCCCCACTGATAGCCGCCATGTGCTTCCCCTTGCTTTCCCTCCCCTCCTTCTGGATAACTTGAGGTGACTAGTCTCAGTGTCTTCTCTCCCTCTGGCGCTACTTCAGTGCCCATCCTCTAGGGCCCACTGACAGGACCCTCTGATTGGCAGACAGCTGATGCTCCTCTCCTCCTCCATGGGAGGGGAGCAGCTAGAAGACTGCAGCTAACAGGGCAAAGACTGGGGAAGGACCAGGCTCACTGACTATAACCCTGAAATCCTCAAACCTCAATGGGCCATGATCAGCATGTCTCCAACTCCTCCAAAGAGGTGCCAGTCATACTGTCCCTCATTTTTATAGCAGTGCAGAAGCTATCAATCAAGCAGCTGTTTCACCCTCGGGTCTCTGGGCCATGACAATAGAGGCTGTCCTAGACGCTCCCCATCCTGTCCCTCAGAGAGACAGTGGCCTTGGCTGGAAGCTGACTTCAAACACAGACCTGTCTCAGATGACTGCCCTGTAACCTGTAGATGACTCTGTCCCCCTCTGTCATTACTTTGAAAGTCCTCAAACAGGTCCGTGAGATATATAAAACAGCACATGTGTGGGACACTTTTTCTGTACATCAACATCACATTCCTCTGGACAGTTCAGAAGGACGGCCTCCCGCCTACTATTTCCTTGTGCTGCAGCTCAATCCCCAGTAAAACCTCACTTGAGTGGTCCTATTGCCTACTTATAATTCTTATCTTGGGTAGAGTCTCTGTGAGTTGCACTGAAAAGAATTTGTAACACAAGAGGTTATTATCCTTGAAAAATTCCAGAAACTGGCGGCAGAGTCTAGAAGCAGCTGGTGGAGATCAATGGTACCAGTGGAAGAGACCAACATACGCAGTGACTATGGGGAATTGACAGCAACCAACATAAATCTCCAGTGACCCAGCACTGAAAGCCTCACTGAAGCAGCAGAGTGTCTGGAAAATCTCCAGAAAGATACCAATAGGGCTCCAAGCCTCAGCAACTGGGGAGCCAATAAGGTGCTATAACCACCAAGGGCTATAGCACTATCAGCCTAGAGTCACTGGCACTCAAACCCCAGAACCACTAACGTCAAGGGAACTGCCCTTTGTCAATTCATGATTTCCATCTGAAGTGACCAAATGAACCCTCAGCTGATAGGTCACAATAAAGACATAAAGATCAGAAAGTAGAAAGAACCTTGGAGGGTTTTATAAGCTATATGTATGAGTATAAAGTTCTGTAATGACAAAGAGATTTTATATGACTTGAAAAGCCCTGGTTGAGGATCTTTGGAATTTCAGGCTACTCCTCTCAAAGTGGGGAATCTAAATTTCAGATGCAGCATATGTGTGTATCTTAATCTGACAATTAACATAATGATCTAAATTTCGTCCATCTATAATTGGGGTCCATGATAAAAGCAACAAGTCATTCTTCCAGTTGGTCTTTACACTCTAGAAGTGCCAGTTTTACTAAAACTTTCTGTAGCAGACTGAGATACTGAACAGAGACTCATTCACTCCAGGTAAGAGTACACATGGGGATAGAACCTCAAATCTGGACAAGGGCCATATCCCCTCAGTACCTAACATTTTGTAGGCAAAATTCTGACTTGATAGTAGTTCCAGAGGAGACTCTTTAACTGGGATTCCATTGGCTTGTGCAGCCATAAAGTTTTTGGTATTCAGTAAAATTTACCACCTGTACAAGTCCCACCTTGCTTGCTTATTTGTTTCCTTCCTTTCTTTTCATAGCTGAGGATTCAACTCAGGACCTTGTTCATGGGTTGGGCAACTACTCTACCATTGAGTTATATCTCCAGCTTAGCTCACATTAATACCTTAAAGAAAGTATTTTCTGCGCAACTGACTGAGGATACAAAATTTTAAGCCTGACTTAATATGCCTGTACCTGGTGGAAGAAGACTGCTGGCCTTTAAAACAGTGAACAGTAGTAGTACTTTTGGTAGGCAGTTTTATACTTTACATGTTAGATACTTTCCATGGGAAAAGGGCTAGCTGGAGGTCAGGACCTTTGCTGATTCCTGAGCAGGAGCTTTATAGTATGGATTATCTACAAGAAAAAAGGTCAGATGATTAGTAAAAAGCATGCTTATTAAGGAAGTGTACGTAAGGGATGGGTCTCTTAAAATAGTTTTCAGAGCCTGATAATGTTTCTGCCTCAAGCAAACACTCACCAGAAGGCCTCCAATGGTAAAGACATTCCTTAATAATCAAGTGGACAGAACAATCTTTGGGCTTGGTGTTTGATCAGGATCTCATCACCAGAGTATTGTTGGAGTAAGAGATCTGAGGAAGACAGAAGCGAGACAGTGGAAAAAAGGAGAGGACATCAAAGCACAAGCAATGTGTGATTTTTGCTAAATATCTCTGAAAACACAGATGAGGCAAGAGATGATGGATTTGTAGCTACATTGTGAACAGGTGTAAATTTTTCTTCAACATCCTGCATGTAAAAACAGAAAAGCAGAATTGACCCAAACTTTGGTGTTTACAGAGTGCTATAATTAGTAGCACAGCTTGAGGTGGGGCAATGAGTAGAAAATAGAGGAGTTGTTGTCCTCCCAGAGAAAATCCCATGTTCCAATACTGGCAACCTTTCAAAACAAATTGCAAACTTAGTAGTTTGATGTGAGAATTGTTAAGATTATGAGAAGACATGGAGAATTCATGTAAGAGTAGGACTGTACCATCAGAAAACTCATTGAAATGTATATACTTTGTTCATTTTGCTATCACAGCTGCACAGGCTTGGCTACAAAACTTGTGCTGCTGAGGTCTGAAACTGGCCATGGAGCGGGTACATGGAGCAATATAGGATGTAAGGCTGTGAGTGTTTTGGCCACAAAGTGTTACTGTGCTACACAACTGCATCTTTTCCTGGCACATCTTGTAATTGCCCCTGTCCATGTCATTGTCCCATCCTGCTTCCTTGAAATCCCTGCCCGCACACACCAATTCATATATTACGACTTTTTAAAAACCTTGCTCAAACTAGTCTCCAAAAAGTGTTTTTTAATTACCTTAATTATACCTTAACTTTAACCTACCCTTAATTTATACTTAATTTTATACTATGCGAAAATTCTACAGCAATTTGCATTTGTTGTTTTTCTGAAATTGTGTTTTTACTTGTTTCATTTAGATGTGTTTTGTTTCCTTACCCAAACTAAAAAGCTGTCAGCAAATACTCTGATGTGGCACAGCCTCCAGTGTGCTTATTGATGTAGAGGAATGTTAAAAATGTTTGATTTTATTTGAACAAGGCTTATTAAGGAAGCCTTGATTGTTTAATTCAAGATTTTATTGATAATTTTAAAAATTTTACTGGAAATCAGAAGTAAAATTTTAATTTCACTTTCTATCTTTTTGGAAAACATAAACTGAATCATACTTAAAAAACCAAAAGAAAAAAATGTGAACTTTAAAACCCAGTAGAATTAGAACCAATAAAATGCTCCCTTAAAATGTTTTACTTTACTTTGAGATTCAGTGACAGAGATGAGCAATATGTTATTAAGATTATACCAGAGACAGCATAATAATCATCATTTGTTAGAGAAGACCTTCTATAATTGAAAATTATATGGGAAAATATTGACATTATTAATACAGAAGAGAATGTAAATTACTCTATAGTGTGGTTGGTGTAGTTCTTATATCATAAATTACTTTACCTTTTAATACTGACACTGTTAGTTAACATAATATTAGCATTTTTTGTGGGACCCTCTTACAAACTGAATCCTTGAGTTCAAATAGATTTCCTTTTGACAGATACTACTCCACTCTTTTCTACAGAAAAGCTTTCCCCTGGGGGAAAAAAACAAAGTTTACTTCAGTCGCAAAATATTTCAACAGGGCTTGATAAACTCCATTTTTAAAACAACCCTCAAAATAACATGCCATTTGCTTTATGCTGGTACATTTTGTGAGCTGTGTCAATGATTCTGACCATTACACTTTAAAAGACTTAATAGCATCACAGGAAACTGAAACATTTTATTAACCAGTTCTAAATAAAATTATTTAAGTCTGATCCAGAGAAACACTTTTAAAGACATTACTTAGGGCCAGGCATGGTGGTGCATGCCTACAGTCTCAGCACTTGGCAGGCCTGGGCAGGAGTACTGCCACAAGTTTGAGGCCGGCCTAAACTACCCAGTGAGACCCTGTCTCAAAAAAGTGACTTAATATGATTTTTCATAATTTATATAGCCAGTTGTATATTGTAGATGGACAACTAACTGATACAGGGGTGTATAGTGGAGCTCTGCATTGATGGTACAATGTGACTAGACAGATATTTATTCTGATGCTCTTGTGCTTTGAGTTGATAATAGTGAGAAAAAGTACCAGGCAAAAGATCATGGGACTCATTTTAAAATTTGCTATGATAAAAATTTTTATAATAAGCATCAAACCATGTCATTAAAACCAATTTGGAGGGGCTGGGGATTTAGCTCAGCGGCAAAAGTGCCTGCCTGGCAAG